GTCCAGGCTAGGATAGACACCATTACTATGAGTCAGACAAATACAGTCATGAAGTCCAGGCTAGGATGGACACCGTTACTATGAGTCAGACAAATACAGTCATGAAATCCAGGCTAGGATGGACACTGTGACTACGAGTGACAAACACAGTCATGAAGTCCAGGCTAGGATGGACACCGTTACTATGAGTCAGACAAATACAGTCATGAAGTCCAGGCTAAGTTGGACACTGTTACTATGAGTCAAACACAGTCATGAATTCCAGGCTAGGATGGACAATGTTACTACGAGTGACAAACACAGTCATGAAGTCCAGGCTAAGTTGGACACTGTTACTATGAGTCAGACAAACACAGTCATGAAGTCCAAGCTAGGATGGACACCGTTACTATGAGTCAAACACAGTCATGAATTCCAGGCTAGGATGGACACCGTTACTATGAGTCAAACACAGTCATGAATACCAGGCTAGGATGGACACTGTTACTACAAGTCAAACACAGTCATGTGTATATGTAAGTATAAAAAAACAATCTGTCAAATATTCATATTTTTACCTGGAACGTTCAACTCGGCAGCCAGTTTCTCTCCAAATTTCCTAGCACAGTAAATACACTCTTCCATCTCAACTCCTTGGACGGGAATAAATGGACAGACATCTAGAGCACCCAGACGAGGATGTTCTCCTGAAATTGTTGCATCGAAACTTTGTTAAGTAAGAGTTCAATTATAAGGTTATTCTTTCAGATTAAAATATAGCATTATTGTAAACAAGATAGATTTAAAATTATACATTAAAGAGACTATTAGATTTTTCTGATGATTAAATATTCATTTTGGAATGCTTTCAATTTCTTTGGTTTAGCCGTCACTGGGATACAAAATTTCTAAGTTTGGTATACAAAAATTACTTTTTGTAATTGCAGCTGAAAACATGTGGAAGTAACAAAAAGTACCTTTGCTAGCCATATGAATAGAGGATCGGATTAGGTATCTGATAACAGATGAGAAAGTTTATGAAGAACACTTAACATTCTGCTTCAACAGAACTACATTAAGGTAAGTCTTCATAATGTTCTATACTATTTAAATTTTCTTGTCTTTAAAAAGGAGCTTACAGCTATTTCTCATTCTGCTAGTGATTGATAAATATTACTCAGGTTAAGACTAACAATGATTAAACATTCAATAAAAACATTCCTTAAGGAAAATGTTGGGTTTTTAAGACCCATGGCCGCGAAAATGGAGGATATTTTACTAAAAACATATAATAATTATTAGTAAACAGTTTAGCTACATTAGTCAAGCTGATTTCAACACAACATAGTAATTATTAGTAAACAGTTTAGCTACATTAGTTGAGCTGATTTCAATAAAACATAGTAATTATTAGTAAACAGTTTAGCTACATTAGTTGAGCTGATTTCAATAAAACATAGTAATTATTAGTAAACAGTTTAGGTACATTAGTCGAGCTGATTTCAACAAAACATAGTAATTATCAGTAAACAGTTTAGGTACATTAGTCGAGCTGATTTCAACACAACATAGTAATTATCAGTAAACAGTTTAGCTACATTAGTCGAGCTGATTTCAACACAACATAGTAATTATTGGTAAACAGTTTAGGTACATTAGTCGAGCTGATTTCAACACAACATAGTAATTATTGGTAAACAGTTTAGGTACATTAGTCGAGCTGATTTCAACACAACATAGTAATTATTGGTAAACAGTTTAGGTACATTAGTCGAGCTGATTTCAACACAACATAGTAATTATTGGTAAACAGTTTAGCTACATTAGTCGAGCTGATTTCAACACAACATAGTAATTATTAGTAAACAGTTTAGCT